AGTCTGATGTTAGCCTGATGGGATTTCCTTTGTGTGTGATCATATTTCTTTCTCTGGCTGCTTTTAATAGTCTGTCCTTATCCTTGATCTTTGCCAATTTTATTGCTATATTTCTTGGTGTTGTTTTCCTTGGGTCCCTTGTGTTGGGAGATCTGTGGATCTCCATGGCCTGAGAGACTATCTCCTTCCCCAGACTGGGAAAGTTTTCAGCAACTACCTCCTCAAAGACACTTTCTATCCCTTTCTCTCTCTCTTCTTCTTCTGGTATCCCTATAATGTGAATATTGTTCCGCTTGGATTGGTCACACAGTTCTCTCAATATTCTTTCATTCTTAGAGATCCTTTTTTCTCTCTGTTTCTCAGCTTCTTTGTATTCCTCTTCTCTAGTTTCTATTTCATTTATTGTCTCCTCCACTGTATCCAACCTGCTTTTAATACCCTCCATTGTGCTCTTCAGCGATTAGATCTCCGATCTGAATTCATTCCTGAGTTCTTGGATATCTTTTGGTACCTCTATTAGCATGTTGATGATTTTTACTTTGAACTCCCTTTCAGGGAGAGTCGTTAGGTCCACCTTATTTAAGTCTTTCTCTGGAGTTGTATTAATTTTACCCTGGACCAGGTTCCTTTGGCATTTCATATTTGTATATGGCGCCCTCTAGTGTCCAGAAGCTCTACTCTGGAGCTGCTCAGCCCCTGAAGCAATGTCGGGGGTCGCATGGGAGCGGTATTGGTGCCTGGGTAGAGGAAAAAGCTGTTCCCTGCTTCCTGGCTACTGTGTCTGTCTCCACTGCCCTAATCAGTGGGCCGAGCACACAGGTATAAGCTTTTGTCCCAAAGCAGCCGGATATGGATCCCTGCTTTCCACAAGCAGCTGGCATCTCAGTCTCTCCAGGAATTCTGCCTGTATTAGCTTTCCAACCCAGAATCATGCGAATATCATGAAAGCACCATGAAATGTAGGTTTGTGCTCCCAGCACAGCTCTCCAGAGCTAGGTGTTCAGCAGTCCCGGGCCTTCCACTCCCTCCCTGCTCTGTTTCTCTTCCTCCCACCGATGAGCTGGGGTGGGGGAGGGGCTCGGGTCCCATGGAGCCACAGCTCTCATACGTTACCCTGTTTCGTTAGGTCTGCTCTTTTCTCCAGGTGTGTGCAGTCTGGTGCCGTCCTCTTTCCTGTTGCTCTCTGAGGATTAGTTGCGCCAACTCTGTTTTCTAACTGTACCCAGTTTTTGGAGGAAGCCTCTGTCTCTCCTATCATGCCGCCATCTTTGAGTCCAACAGTATTTTAAAAAGCAGTGTATGACCAAACTGGTTTATTCCCATAATGAATACAGAGAGTATCTTATAGTTAATATTAGAAAATCCACAAACATTATTTGCTCCATTAACATATAACAGAAAAGCCATATATTTCCTTAGATTCAGAAAATGATAAAATCTTAGCACCCATTTATAATTAATGAAAGAGAAATTGTGAACTAGTAATTTACAATTTAAAATTACTAGAGATTTTTGAAATTAAAAGATGCTATCCCCATATATAGTTTTTCTTTATATTATACATGAAACACTTGCCAAAATAGGATGGATGTGGAAGCACATGCTAGACCCAGATGCTGTCTCTCACCACTTTTGTTCAACCTCAGGCTGTAGTTTCTAGGCAGCATGATAAAAAAAGAAATTGAGAGCTTTTAAGAAGTGGAAAGGAGGAGATAAAATGCCATTTTGCAGATCTAATTGTCTACACAAAAAATTACAAAAGAATTTAGGAAGGGACTAGTTGTAGGATCGGTGTCTAGAAGTTATTTGTGAAAAATTAATGTGCAGAAGTAAATAATTTAAAATGTAGTTTAATAAAGGTAGCGTTTGTGATAGCACCAAAATCTATGAAATATCTGTGGGTAAATCTAACAAAAGTTGCACAAGACTTGTACGCAGAAGGCTGTGAAACAACTGAAGAACAGTAAAGACTAAGTCACAGCAATCCTGTGTTCATTTCTAGCAAGAGTTAATATAAAACTACCAAGTTTCCCAAAAATTATCTGAAGAGTTAAAATCCAAGAAGGCTTTTGTGGAAGTGAACATAGTGTTTGTAAAACATACAGGATGGATACGTTGTGATACAGTCATACAATGGACTGCTGTATGGTAACAAAAACACTGGAGCCATCTGGGCCATGGATGCATTTTAAAAACTCATTGTTAAACAGAAGCAGAACACAAGAATGCACTCAGTATCCTATTTCTATAAAGTTCAGATTAGACAACACAGAATATGGTGTTGATCACACTATCACACCAGCCCAGCAGTGGCGCTCTTGGTGTCTGCCCAAGAGAAAGGAGGGTGTCAGAGACTTGTACATGGATGGTCCTAGAAATGTTATTTGTGATGGCCAAAAATTGGGAACAACTCAAATGTCCACAGCGGATGAACAAACTGCTCTCCATCCAGTGGACACCGCTCGGCAGCCAGAAGCGTTCTACTGGACCCCCAGGCAGCAAACTTATGGCAAGAGGCCATATTCAGAATGCATGCTGTAGGACTCCATCTCCACGGAGCAGCAGAAAGCAAAGCCACTGAGAGTGAAGGCAACACTAGGGCCAGGGTGGCAAGCAGATGCTGGAGTTTCACGGGAACCCTCCTGATACGAGATGATGTGAACCTGTGTGTGTGCCAGAACTGCAAGCTCTACATTGAAGTGCAGTTTACTGTACATAATTATACCTCAATACAGAGTAATTAAGGAATCACATATGTTGCTCAGGAATACATACAGTATTAAGACTAAAAGAAAAGCAAGGAAATTATCAACATGAAAGGCCAGGATGGTAATTACTTTTGAGGAGATGAAGGAAGCTTCAGATAAAAGGCAGGCACCAGGCAGGGGCTGACAGTGTCCCTCTAGACTGTGGTGATACACAGTATTTGCTTTATAGTTTTTCTTTATATTATACATTTGTTTTACTTGCCCTTCTATATGTCAAAAAAGGAAAAAAAAGTGGTGAAGGGTTGCTAAGATCCTTCGGGAGGAACGGGGAGAACAAGGAGGGCCCCGCCCCTTTCCATGCCCATGATACCGGCTTAGGGAGCCGTGGTTACCAAGACACTGTGCTATCGGATCAGTGTGGAGCCCAGGCACAGACCTGCACAAACACAGCTTTGACCTGTGACAAAAGGCAGATCAGCAGCTGGCGTGGAAAGGAAGGCGTGGTCATGAATGGAGCTGGGCACGTTTACTGCACATGTAAGAGAGACTGAAACTGGATCCCTACCTCACACCGTACTTGGGGGTGTGAAAATCTTTTTGATCTTAAGAGCAGGGAAAGACTTCTTTAGAAAACCAATCATAAAAGATTTATGAACTACATTCAAATCAATTTGCTTTAAAGTGAGATGATACAGCACATTGCAAAGTATCAAGACTATAAAGGAACATTGCAGAAGAGTAAGATGACGACAAACCTGCTGAGAAATGGTCAAACAGGATCAGACGTCACAGAAAATGTGACCAGCAGGCTACACAGAGGTCTTCGTGTGACTGGTGGGCGGAGTGGGAGTTCCCGCCACGCTCCCGTGCTCACATGCCTCAGGCTGCAGCCCCATGCTGGTGCCCACACACCTGGCCAGGGCAGAGCTGTGAGTGGCTTCTCCCACTTGCTGTCCATTCGGTGTGATGTGTTCTTATGGCCGTGAAAGTGCTAGCCCCAGAGGAAGCGCACAAACATGATGGCGACGAGGGAAGCAGTAAGGAAACAGCGGGATGCTGCCCCCATCAGTGCAGAAATGAGCACAGCCAAACTGCTGTTGAAGAGGATAGCAGCCGAGGTGCCGCAGGGAGCCGTGGAGACTAATTACTGCAGGCACCTGCTAGGACACCATAGCAAGGTGCCCCAGGGCTGGCAGTACGGGGTTTCTTGACTTTGCAGTGAGGGGGTGTTTGCCTAGGCTTTGATTGCCTGTGTACATATTCTCTGTGTGCAGATGTGTGTGACACAGTCCGCAGTCGGCCACCTACAAGCCTGGTGGGCAGTGGTGGTAGGGGCATAAGCAGAGGAGGAGGTGGTGTTGGGAGGAGGCACAGCCAGGTCACTCTGGGCGTGAATTTTGCACCCTGTGCTGTGAGAGCCCCTTGGAGTCTTGCCCAGTTTGGGTGGAGTTCTTCGCCGATCAGCTTTGGCACAGGATCTTACGTTGTTCTGGAGAAAAGGGAGTTACATGGAACTTACGGAGACAGTTGGGAGTCTGTTGCCAGAGTTACGTGGAAGCTTCCAGAAGGCGTAAAAGGCAGCATCACAGGGACTCTGGGTTTGACCAGCTAGGGAAGGACTTGCAGTCTGGCAGATGGCACATCCTTCCCTTGAGGGGCTGGCATAGGGGACAGCCCCCACCTGGATGGGGCTGTCAGCAGGCGGCAGCAAGCACACCTTGCTTCAGCCACTGGTGAATAACAGCAGTAGTCACGGTCAGGGTTATTCAAGTTCTGTGGCCCATTTAGAGCCAGAAAATTGTGCAAAGGTTCATGAAAGAAAAGGTTCCTCCTTTCATTTAATACAAAAATCAGCCCCTACTGTATGGGAAGCAGGTAGCAAAGTGTGCCCCTTTTCAAGCCCTGGTTAGCACCTCGTTTGTGATCCAGAGCTGGGCCGGCCTACAGGCTGGAGGCTGCCCCAGAGGGCGTGTCTATGCCCTTGACATGGCTGTGAGGGTGAGGCTGGCCAGAGGCCATGGTTCGGGTTCCTGGGGGCTTATGAGACTTCCTTGCACACCTTCCCTGAAGAACAAGTCAGAAAAGAGTGACCCAAAGCGTCAAGGCCTTCAGGGCACTGGCCAGCATCTGAAGACGGGGCGCCTCCTCCTCAGGGCCTTGCACCTCTCAGAATTCACCCAGGCGGCATGGTGGGAAGACCTTTGGGACTGGGCCCCAGGAGGCCCCAGGCTCTGTGAATGCCTGCCGGGCAGGGGCTGCTTCCTTCCGTGACTCTCACTTTCTATCTTGCAGATTTTGTTTGGACTCCGCTAGACAAACCCGACAAAGGCTGTCCATCAACTGGTCCAATTTCAGCCTGAAAAAAGCCACCTTTGCTGCCCACTGAATGAGGACTGCCTGGAGAGGGACGCGCGGGAGGTGGGCCAGGCCCCGGAGCTGCCGTGCTTGCCCAGGGCTGTGCCGGGTGGGCTGCACCTGAGACTCCCCCACCCACCAGACTGAGAACTTGCTGCCCGACCCGCGTTGTTAGCTCGTGTGCGTGTAGTCTGTGAGTGAGACCTCTTTGACTGTAGCTCTGTGCTGTCGGCTTGGAACAGTAGCTCCCGCCAGTCCTTCACCACCTCGGCCTCGGAGGCCTGGGCCGTGGCCAGAGACGAGATTGCATCACCCACGTGGCCCTGTCCTGTCACCTGCCCCCGCCGGGGTGTCACCGTCACTCAGCTCTCGTGTGCCCCTGCATCCCCCACCCCCACCCCAGGCGGGCTGGGTGGGGCAGGCGCGCTTCCGTTCTGCACAATCTACTGTTAAGAGTGTACACGTTGCGCTGTTTGTGTCTGACCCCCTGACCTGTAGCCAGCTTGCGTAAGATCCCTTGCCGAATGAGAAAGTTCAAAAACAAAACCCACCCAGTACTCACACCATCAAGTCTGTAGAGAGTGTACGACTGTATTAACACGGAGGCCTGCCTGGCTACTTTTTTAACATATTGTTAAGTAATATTAAAATCATGTCTTTCTTTTTGAAAGATGGAATACATTAGTACAGCAGAAGACCTCGTCTGGTTGCTTTCTGCTGGGGCAATGGGGGGCTTGGCAGGGGCAGGGCCACTGGGTGACAGTGCTCCCCAAGGGGAACCTGGGTCACCAGCCCTGGAGCACCCCCTGGGTCGCCACAGATGGCAGCTTCGGGTTCCTGGTAGCCATCCGTGCAGCGGTTCATCCAGGGCCTTCCATGTGCCAGGCAGGCCCAGGCCCAGGACAGCCCAACCAGACCCATCCAGGCTTTGGTGTGAGAAGTGTCGGTAAGTGTCAAGAAGAAACACAGGGTGGCTGGCAGTGGGGGATGTCAAGAAGTTCCCTACAGGGTGGCAAAGGGGACATCGCTTCACACCTGTGTGCTGAAGGAGGCAGCGCAGAGGGGCCGGGTCTGGGCATGACCACATATGGCCTCGGGGGACTTGTGGCCTCCAGTCGAACAATGAAAAGTGACAAATATCAAATTGGGCATAAATGAACAACAAGAATGTTATCTGAGAGTAAGAGAGGCGTCCTGACTTAGTCCCCTGGGCGTGTGCAGAGTACCTGGAGCTGCCTCCGGCTGCAGGCTCACCACTGACACGCAGGAGCCCCAGCTGACGGCTCCCAGCTCCCCACCCTGCATGCCTGCTGGCAGAGGAAGGGGCGGGGAGAAGGGGCCACAGGACTGCAGATGGGCGAGACCAGGTGGGGAGCGAGAGGGAGGCAGGGAGGACTCAGGCTGCTGCCTGCCCCGGGGCAGGGGCCCAGGCACAACCTGTGGCATTAGGAAACTGGTCCCAGAAGGCCTCATACTCAGGAGCCTGTGCAGCTGCCCAGGAATGAGGGCAGATGGGGCAGGTCTGAGCCTCAGACCTGAGCACAGAGGAAGGGGGGAGAGGGCGGGAGCAGGCCGCTGTGGTCAGGAGGAGGCCCGGGACTGGCCACTGGGCTCCAGCACTGAGGTGCTCTGCACTGGAGCCTGACAGAAGCAGCTTGTGGGAGGACAAGGCTGGGAGCATGTCCTGGGAGCAGGAGCTGGGGCGGCAGCAGGGGGTGTGGGGCCACGGGGCTGGCCTGCTCGTCTTGTGTTTTCTAGGTGGGAGCAAGAGCACCACGTCCCTTTGGTTTTGGGACAAACCAGCAAAAGGAGAAACAGGCTGGGCGGTGGCCATGGCGGCAACAGCGTCCCGAGGGGCGGAAAGCCCACTGCTGTCTCCCAGCGCTCCAAGCCCGGGGCGGGGCCTTGTCCACTCTGGCTGAGGCAGGGGCCAGGCAGGACCAGGGCTGGCTGGGCACTGGGCAGCCTGGACCAGCAGAGTGGACAGTGAGCCTGCTCTCATGGAGGCCAGGCCTCGCCAGGTAAAGGCTCCCCACTAGAGCCCAAGACCTGCCTCTGCCCAGCCCTGTTCTCCCTGTGGACAGTCCTGAGACTGTGTTGGAGCCAGTCCCACCTCTGAGCCTCACTTCATCTGTCCCTCGGGACCATGCTGACTGCCGAGAGGAGCCCTGGGGTTCCATCTGTGGTGTGAGCTGTCCAGGCCACGACTGGTGAGGACCCATAGGTGCCCAGCACTGAACAGCCACCCTACACACCCCAGCTTCTGAGGTGGCCCCTTGGCACTTCCAAGTGGGCCTGCTGCCTGTACTTAACTCCATGTCTGCAGTTTGCACCCCTCAGACCTCCCAGCCTTCTCCTTGCCAGGAATGCACTTCCCCCATTCTTGAGGCCAACCCCGATCCTGCAAGACACTCCACACACACTGTTCCTTGAAACAGTCCTGAAGGGGTGTCACTTTGCCATTCTGTTCTAGGGAACAAAGAAGAGGATGGATGTGGGTCTATGAAGCTTAGGACCAAGTCAGAGGGTAGTAGAGGATGGGCATAGAGGGGGATGGGGCCTCCTGAGGTCTGGCCTGTGGAGGCAGGTCCGGGCCTTGGGCACAACATGGCCTGGTGACTTAGTCCCCCAGTGTTCTCACACCCACCATCACATGTACAGCTGAGGAAACAGGCCTGGGAGAGCGCCCAGGGAGCCGCACGCAGACTGTCACTTTGAGTATCACCCCCTGTACGTGGTGGTAGTCCTGAGGTGAGACAGCAACTAAGTAAGAAACATGGAATGTTCTTCACTGAGCTGTGCTCACAAAGGCATTAAAAATCAAAATGGTATTATAGCACCAGAAAGGACTAACACTTGATTTCATTAATAAGTCTTTTAAAAGAAGAAAAACTTTCACCTCAGTTCAATTTCATGGTTTTAAACATTAAACCTCCCAAGTCACTGGACCAAGTGGCAGACCTGAAAGGACATGGGTTCTTGTTGTTCCGTCTTTGCAGTCACTGCTTGGATCCACTATTGAGTCGTAAGGATGAGAGCGCAGCAGGGGTGGGGGCTGCGTGCAGCGACATCCCCGACATCTCTCAGCAGTGAGAACGCAGGATGTGTCTAGCTGCGTGTCACGAGCCCACCTGTGTCCTGGCAGCCCTCTGGAGTCCTGGTCAGCAGTGTCCCAGGCCGAGGGACAGGCATGGGTCCTGTGCTGACCCAAAGCGTGCGCAGGCATTCCTAGACAGCAGTGGCGCCCGTGGGAGGTGAACGCTCTGGGAGCTGTCACTGTGCCACATGGAATTGTAAAGCCAAGGGCATTTTGCAGTGTTTTGGGGTGTTGGAACAGAGGCAGCAGGAGGCAGTGGCTCCTGAATGAAGGGCATGACAAGGTGAGCCTCTGAGTGTCCTGGCATCCTGCCTGGAGGCAGCTTCCACAGCCCAGCAGGATCACTGAGCAGAGGAAACAGATTGTCCTTTGGGGAGGCTGAAGCGGTGGGTTATGGGGCAGGGATCCAGGGGCTGCACCTGGAGAACCCCAAAGACCTGTGGGGAGTCGCCTCAAGTCCCTTCAAACCTACTGACCTCTGCAGGTGTGGCATAAAATTCCTCCATCCAAGGGATCAGAAAGCAGGAGGGTTGGGGTTTTGTCTCCACCAGCCAGGGTAGAAAGACCCTGTGATACACATGGCCAACATTATCTAGAGGAATACAGAAATATCCCACACTAAACAAAGCAAAATTCGTTGGAATCAGGCAAAATTACCAGGCCATGCCGAGAAGAGGGGAAATGTAAGCTATAATCAGGAGAAATACCAGAAAAACAATAGTAACACTCAGAAATGACACGGTGAATTTGCACACAAGAACCTTAAAATAGCCATTGTAAATCTTACTAATTTACATCTTCAAGGATATAAATGAAACAAGATGAAAGAAGAAATGAAAGATAAAAAATGCCCATGTGAAACTTATAACTAAAGGAATCTAAAATAAAAAATAACCATAGAGAGAATTAGCAGATTACAAACTTCTCCAGAAGAAAATATCTAACTACTTGATGGCATATGACTAGAAACTACCCAAAATGATGAAATTGGAGAAGAAAGACAGGATAAAATGAGCTGTGAGACAGTATCGGGCATCTAACAGACATGTAACTGGACTTCTATAAAAGAGCAACAAGAAATAGAAATTTCAGCATCAGCTTGTCATAAGCCTACTGAGAAGATGATGGAGCCAGTATTGGGTCTACAGATCCACGTGGGAAGAACCAGTACCGGAACACGCCTGGGTTCCCAGTCTGTGAACATGGTATCCCCTTTTAGTTATGTATCT